ATATATATATATATAAGGTGCAGAGCATCAGCATAAAATCCAGTGAAAACAGGGGTTATACCACAGGGGGAGAACATACAATAGAAACAAAAGGATCATATAGTGTATTGTAAGTACATTAAAAACACTAGCAAGAAAACAAAACAAAACACCTCTTGTGTCCCTGTCTTGGGGTACATTTTGCTTAACATTATTGCTCATATGGTCATATGTACATAGCCTTTGACCTACTCTGCTTGTCCTAGACTGTACTAGTCACTGCAAACAAGGGAAACCATGGGACCTAGGTTTCTTTGGGCCTGGCTTACTTCACTTAATATAATTTTTTCCAAGTTTTTCCATTTCCTAACAAAGGAGGCAATGTCATTCTTTCTGATGGAGGCATGGAATTCCATTGTGTATATATATCACATTTTCTTGATCCATTCATCTACTGAGGGGCATCTGGGTTGGTTCCATATCTTAGCTATGGTAAATAATTCTGCACAGTATCTTTATAACAAAAATTATTTTTAAAAAAGACTAGCATTTTAGGGGAAGAGAAAAGAAAAGAAAAGAAAATTTTTGATATTGTAAGTGTTTGAATAGGGATACAGGCTGACCTGTTGTAACAATGAAATGTACAAGACATTAGTTTGAAAATGAACTTTACAACTTCGGCGGGGGGGGGGGGGGGGGGGGGGAGTAGTTGGGGAGGTGGGGCAGGAAGGGATGGTAGGGGAAAAACAAAGGAGGAGGTAACAATGCTCGATAAGAAATGTAGTTATTACCTCACTCATGTAACTGTAACCCCTCTGTACAGTATTTTTACAATAAAAAAATCAAAAAATGATATTATGTCAAAGAAAATCTTTTGAAAATGATTTCAGGTACATGGAACTGACCTGATTTAAATAGATTAGAAACCCATTAAGATTATTTTTATCTGCTGATTTATTTCCATTTTTATTATCTTTAAGTAGAGAGTCCTGTCCGTTCATCTGCCCTTTTCCTCTCTGACACCTCCCCGCCTCGTTCAAGTACCTGCTTCCTGGTGTTTGTTTTGTTGAACTTTGACTTTATCTTTCTACAGAAGTATACCGAGTTCTCTCTTAAAGCTAGATTTACCTTATAAACATATAAGTAACACAGATTTTTTGAAGCAGCATTGTAGGTCCACTTCCAAAAACTTGGCCAAGACTGAGAATGCCAGGATTGTTATTCTTGCTGATATACACAAGGAGGCACTGTTGTCTTGCTAAAAATGAGAATTTGCGAACTCGTGGATATTGTTTGGGTTCTGTGGCTGCTCAAGCTTGATATCCCATGTTGGGTCTCTGAGATCACAGTACTCATCTGGTAACAATCGTAAGTTTAGAATATATCCTGAAGCACAAGGGAGTATCAAGATGACAAAATACGGCTGTGGGAAAACGTAATGCTCCTTCAAATACCCTTGTTTTTCTTTTGATCATTGGCCACCAATGTAGATTTCCTCCCCCCCCCCTTTTCTTTATGGTTATTATAAAGGTGATATATAGAAGGGTTACAGTTACATGAGTCAGGTAAAGAGTATCCATTACTCTCTCCCAGCTTTTCCCTACTGTCCTTTTAACATCAGCTTAATTCCAAGGAACCTGTTACTCTGCCACTGATTTCTAAGTTTTCTGTGGTACTGAATACACAGTGTTCTGTGGAATCAGATTTGCTTCTTCAAAAGCCTCTGAGTTCTTCAAGCTTATTCCTCTTCAAATGTGCTCACCCTGAAAAGAAGGAGGGGAGGAGGGGCAAGGGAGGAGAGGGCCTGTTGGGATCGGCCTTTTCATGCTCTGAACACACTATCTTCCGGCCCAGCTAGAACATGTGGACTTGTATGAGCAATGTGACCTTTCCTAGACTTTCTCAGTTAAACTGATAGTATTCCTGTACCTTTCCAATGTAACACGTCTTTCATGGATGCTTTCACGTCTTCAGAGAAGACATTTTTTTATGTGAAAACCTCTTGGCAGAGGTATATCCACCATTTAAGACTTAGCTAGTTGAACTATCTTCCCCTACTTTCACTTTCTCCCCAGACCCCATGTGTGGGCATTCTTGGCCCGTCTTGATCCTCTGGGTCCAGCTGCTCCAGCACCTGCACCGGGCTTGATGATTCCATGGGGAATCTGCAAGACACCCCTTTGTCATCACGTAGGCTCCAACTGTTAGTGCTCATTTCTTGATTCTTTAACATTGTACAACAGGGGTGGGGGTTGAAAATTTGGGAGGGGGGAAAGACTCCTCCTAGATGCTCTGAAATGTGCAAGTGCATATGTGAATGCAAATTTCAAGAGTGAAAATTGATTTGTGGGTTCTAAAGCTGATCTTGACTACTAGCTGACTAATGCCAAGAAGCTAGTATAGATCAGATATTCTGATATATGCCAACCATAAAATACTTGGAGATTTGTTTTAACTGTGTTTTGGTTAGACTACCTGAAATGTCCTAGCCACTAAGACTACTATGTGTTAGTTATGGGATCTTAATCAAGTAAATTTCACATTTTCACAGAGGAGATAAATATGTATCTGTAGGTAAACACAGTTTGCACTATTCAAGTAACCAGGCTTCTATAGTTCCATACAACATACAGAGAGAGAGACAGAGACAGAGAGACAGACAGAGACAGAGACAGACAGACAGGCAGGCAGACAGACAGACAGGCAGGCAGGCAGGCAGGCAGACAGGCAGACAGACACAGACTGTCAGAGACAGATTGAGAGATTGTCCCCCTTCCCCAAGGAAATCATTAAATGATAGGCTAGGAAAATCATCAAGACAAGAGAGAGGGATGGTAGGAAGTCTGTTAATGGCTTGGTGGAGTTGGTGTCTGAAAACTGTCAGTATCCTTCTAAGGATACTTGAAAACTGACCCTGAAGTAACAAGTAAGTAGGACATTTCAAATAGAAAGTTTATAGGTAAGTCAGAACTGACAACCCACATCTACAATCCTAGCTACTTAGGATGTAGAGATATGAGGATCCCAGTTCAAAGCCAGCCTAGGTAGAAAACTTTGCAAGACTCTTTTCTCCAATTAACCAGCAAAAGTCCAAAAGTGGAGGTATGTCTCAAGTGGTAGAGTACTGGCCTTAAGCAAAAGAGTTAAGCAAGAGCACAAATCCCTGAGTTCAAGCCCCAGCATAGCATCAAAAAAAAATAAAAATAGAAGTCAAAATTTGAGAGTCTACATAAGAAAGGTTAAGGCCAAGGCAGAGGCAAGGGCTAAGAACGGAAGTATTACTTAGCATTCCTAGCAATGAGAGTCCTTTGCAATGTCTTCACGGCACATGACATTCTGATAAAAAAAAATGAGTGCACAAAAATGAAGTAATTAGTAATTTTATAGGAGGAGCTGCATATATCATATTCGCTTAATTTAAGACAAATCTGAGAGGATTTTGGGGAAGATTTAGACTTCAGATGAAAAATATGTTGAAGAGAAGCCATTAGAAATGTGTTTAACTATGTAACCGGTAGTATCTTCCGATTTTAGACAATTTAATTAGGTATAACCAATTCATTTCACTTCCTTGTTGTCTTAGCTGGCCCACTGGTCTTCCACATTGCCCAAAAGGTGCTTGAATTAGAAAACAAGCACATACTTCTTCTACTGGTGTCCTGGGTAAATGTGTTTGGGATTTGTGTCATTGTAGCATCCTGCTGTTAGTAGTAACTCTATCTCTTTCTATTGCACAGGAGGACCGGGTACAACCACAGTAGATACAGTGAGAAGAACAAATAGATAAGAGCTCCGTGGGAAAGCAGGACATGAGCTGTTCTTGCTGTGGACGTAGGAACACAGCCCTATTCATTTCTTTCTGGGAGGGGAGTGTCCAGGACACACTGGGCAGAGATACCTCAGGAGCACAAGGACAGCCAAAAACTTAACTTTCAAAATGGATGCTTCAGTCAAGCCAATGAAAAATGACAAGGTTCTTTACAGGTCTTGACCCTCCCTTTCCCTCTAGCCCTGTCTATATTTCCCAATCATTATTTTCCAAAGAACTCTGTGTATGGGTTATTGGTTAATACATATCCCACTAATACATATCCCATTGTGAAACTATAGGTTAGTCTATTTCAGCAAAGACTCCCAAAAATGCAATGGCTTAATCCAGACACGAGTTTACTTCCGGTTCAGGTTTAAATCAGGTGATGGCCTAAGCAGAGTCAGACACACGGGCCCTTCTATATTGTTCCTCTGCTACCTTCAGCTCACATTTCCATCTTACGGTTGCTACTGCAGATCTCAGCATCAAGTAATATAAATGATGAGAAATACTTCTTTTAATAGCCTATCCAAGCAAAATACCTCTGGGGTCAAGAAAGAGAGTTTCCAATGAATGTAATATACCACAGGCTTACTACAGGGTACATGAACAATCCAAATCCTGCAATAAGAGTAACTCCCGCCATCCTTCCTACATCATCCACTTATGGCAGCCAAACTAAAGACGAAAAACTGGAAGCTGGCAATCTTAGTTAAGATTACGCTTCAGGAGGCTAAGATCTAAAGATCATAGTTTAAAGCCAGCCCAGGCAAGAAAATTTGTGAGACTGATCTCCAGTTAATGACCAAAAAACCAGATCTGGAACTATGGCTCAAATGGTAGAGCACTAGCCTTGAGTACAAAAGTCAAAGACCAGTGCCCAGGCCCTGAGTTCAAACCCCAGGACTGATACACACACAAAAAAATCAAGAAGGAATACTTAATATCTCTAAGGGGAAAAAAACAGTTTAGAGGAAGTAAAGAAAATAGGGTAGCAGAACTTGTGTTTTGGCTAAGAGCCTTGTTCTTGTGAGGCAAGCTCTCTATTGCTTAAGCCAAGCCCCAAGCCCAGGAGTAGAGTTTACAAAGAATGGAGAGAATCGAAACTTCAATGTCCCTCTCATTTCCACTGTACAAATTTCCAGAATATGATATTTTCACCACTTGGGCATCGTATTTCACTATAGCAATGGCTTAAATTCTTCAAGGACTGAACTAAATATGCTACTTTCTAGGAATACAAAAGAGTTAAACCAGCACAACTATGTTTATTGCAGCATTATTTACCATAGCTAAGATATGTAACCAACCCAGATGCCCCTCAGTAGATGAATGGATCAAGAAAATGTGGTATATATACAATGGAATTCTATGCCTCCATCAGAAAGAATGACACTGCCCCATTTGTTAGGAAATGGAAAAACTTGGAAAAAATTATATTAAGTGAAGTTAACTAGGCCCAAAGAAACATAGGTCCCATGATTTCCCTTATTTGCAATATCTAGTATATGTCTGAGACAAGCAGAAATTGTCAGATAAGTTGATGTTAGGTGAAATGAACCCCAAGATAAGGACTCAAATGTTTTTTCTTTCTTGCTATTGTTTCTAAGATATTTATAAGATGATTTCTGTGTTGCTTTGTATGTACCTCCCCCATGGTATAGCCCCTGCTTTCACTGTATTTGATGTTGGTATAATTTGTGGAGGGGAAGGGAAAAAAACAAATTGTTTAAATAGGGATACAGGTGGACCCATTGCAACAATGATATGTACAAGACGTTATGTAAAAAAAAAAAAACTTTACAACTTTGGCGCAGGAGGGGGTGTAGCAGGGAGGGGTGGAGAAGGAAGATGGGAAGAGATGGTAAGGAGAAACAAAGAAGGAGGCAACAATGCTTCATAAGAAATGTACTCATTATCTTGCTCATGTAATTGTAACCCCTCTTTACGGTATTTTCACAATAAAAAAAATAAAAGAGTTAAACCAGATCTTACAACAATATCCAGCTAACATGTTGTGACACTCCTCTTACAAGCTTTTACCCAGTTGCTATGAAAAGGAATAGATTTGATTGATGGCACTCTATTTTCAGAAGACATAATTACTTCTACATTTACTACTTGCTTTATTAAAGCTATGCTACTGACACCCAAACTTAGCACATTTTGCTGATTTTGTTACATGCTAATAATTAATTGGCTTCTTTTGTTTTGCTAATACTTATAAAACATACCACACACATATATAATACTTGGTCTTATTCCTTCTTTAACCCTAAACAAAAAAAACATAAATAAATTTAAAAGTAAAATCAGGCTTTTTAAGAGAATCCAGGAAATGTACACACACATACACATAGACACATACATAAACACATGTATATATGTGTATGTGTGTACATATATATAATTCTGTCTTGTAAATATGATCCTATATTATTATTCCTATGACTCCTATATAGAGTACCTATCTGCTTATATTAGTTTTAAATAAATGAACATTCTAGGTATTACAATGACCGCAAGAATTTTTTCATATTGTTGACTACTCAGGTGGTTTGAAGATTCTATTGCTACACAGAAGTACAGTAGTCTATAGCTCATTCCAGTAACCTAGAGGTTTTGAAGACACTCTACACACAAAACCAAAGGATGGCTCTGCCATTTCCCATTCCAGACAGCATTACATTATCAGTTCTTGTGTAAGGGCAAAAGTGATAACATATCCACAATATTATCTATGTCTCTTATCTCCCCAAACCCAAAGATTGAATATTTGTTTGGACTAGAAGGGGAAAAAAGATGAGAAAGACAACTTATGTAAATCCAACTATCCAGACGCATCCTAGGATATTACAGACACCAATGCCTGGGAGTATTCTAGTCAACTAGAAGGCCTTCTTATCATGGAATGGATACTATGAATATAATCCAGAGAGCCCTGGACTACTGTCTGTGTCCATGAAAGGAGTTTCTGGAGAAAGCAATTAGGATCTGCTCAGCTCAGTCCTTTGATATAGAACACCCTGAGCACTCGCTGGCGGATCTGCCGAGTCTTTACCCCGTAGACAAGAGGATTGAGGGCAGGTGGCACCAGGAGATACAGTGTGGCCAGAAGAACATGGACATGATGGGGGACGTGATGGCCAAAGCGGTGAGTGAGGAAGGAGAACATTCCGGGGACATAGAAGATCAGGATAACACACACATGAGAGCCACATGTGCTAAAGGCCTTCACTCGGGCCTCAGCCCCTGGAACCTTCAGCACTGCCTGCAGGATGAGGGCATAGGAAATTCCAATGGCTAGCACGTCGAGACCAACCACAAACAAGGCCACTGAAAGCCCATAAGCTCGGTTCACCGTGGTCTCTGAACAGGCAAGTTTGACCACAGCCATGTGTTCACAATAGGCATGGCCAATG